GGAATGAAGACGATCCAAGCGTATGAGGATGCACAGAGACGGAATGCCTCATCAGGATTGTTCAATTCAAACGGGTTCAAAAGGCGACAGAAATCTGTGGCACTTTGCTGCAACCTGCATGTTTCTACAAAGACACAGAGTTACCCTACCTAGACCATCTGTCCATTTTCGGTGCTCGATGGAGATCCCAAATGATGCTCCAAAGGTGCCCACAGCATGGGTGTCCGTCGTTTTGTGCGGCGCCATGGGGGTGGTCGACACAGTGGGGACAGCTTTTCTGGGGTGGTTGACATCCACACCATTGGATCTCTGGCTTACGAACCATGACTGATGGTTGTGGAAAAGCGCAGAGGGAGACTCCCAGCCAATTGGTTTATTGTCCATGGTTTCTCTTCCAGAAACTCTTGGGGGTTCATCCTGGTGTATCCCAAATTACCCTTGCAGTTACCTCGCCTATAAGGTAGCGAACCAATCCCTGCCACCCCGTCACCTGTTAGTTAGTTTGTTTTTTGGCTCTAGGAAGCTGCGCTTCCCTTCGAGGTTTTGGTGAACCGAGGGTTTTCGAGCTTTTTTGAAGCTCACACCTGAGCATTGCCCTGGCTCCAAAACGTGCTCAACGCATGTCACAGTCGACCGCAGCACATGAAGAGAAGAGTTGTTGTTGCCCACCAGGGTTTGCGGCTTCAGGTTTTGACTCACAGTCAGATGTTTATCTCTTTTTCCAAAGGTATCTTCACACTCAAGGGCCGGCGGTCGTAGGGCTTAGACACGACGGTTGTGGTTCTTCTCTCCTTTTTTAATCTCCCCTCTCTCGGGCATCAACGATGTCGGGGCGTTGCAAGGAAAACCATCCTGGAGACCAAGGAGAGGACTTGACGACATCGGATCATGACATCCGTGGACGTGGGACGAACGACGAACCCTCATAAACCATCATAAACCCGTATATATATGTTTGTCCACTTCGCCCAAAGGCACTCTGAGCTTCAGATCGGCGCAAAACAACAACAACAACAACAACAACAACAACAACAACAACAACAACAACCACAACCACAACCACAACCACAAC